CCATAACGTCAATTTGTGTAGAATTATTTTCGTACGCCTTACGCCACGCTTCTGCCGGACAAAAAAAGCCGAACTTTGGTCGTTGGAGAATGCCGTAATGCTCTGGGTATATGCCATCTCGCGTGCTCACTCAACATATTATGCCACCCCCAACCCCCTCATCCTCCTCAGCCTTAATTCCAACACCTCCTTGCGTCTTTCTTCTCTTCTCATTTCTCTTTCTCCTCTTCTCTTCCCTCTCCCGCTCATCTAACTCCTTCCTAACCTCCAACCTCTTCCCCAAATCGACCACATCCCCCACCCCCTCTTTCTCCTCTCTCCTCTTCTGAGCTAACCACTCTAATCTTTCCCTCACCTCCTCCAACGTCGCCCTCTTCACCTCCCCAGTCTGCCCAATAGCCACCAGATGCTGCCGCGAATTCAGATGCTCAAGGAACTGTAGATTGTCCTTGAATGTCAAATCACAGTCCGCACAGTAAAACCCTGCCCCTCGCCCTCTCTTCCCCGTAGCCGCGCCAGCTGGTACGAGGGAAGTCTTGCCGACATTGTTGGAGACATCGAGACGGGCAGTGCGTGATTCGGTTTCTTTGGCGTCTGGAGGTGTGGACGGGCGGGGGAAATATTTGCGCCCGGCAGCCTTTGCTTCGGCACGAGCTGCGCCCTCAGCTTTATACTTTGTTTCGCGATCAGCTGCTTTGGCTGCGTATTCGTTTCTGTCCCAAGTTTTGCGGAACGAGGTGTCGGATGCGGTGGATTTTGATGGGCCGGAGCCAGACATGGCTTGACGTTAACAATGGCGTGGCCAAGGTACCGGCAACATAGAATGAAAAGTATCTGGGTTTTTGGTCTGGCAAGCGTAGAGAGAAGGCATGGGAGTACCTTAAGTGAGCTCATGAATGGCTTGGCAATATGTTCTAATTGTATGGAAGTGTAAGCGAGTTAGGCGCCGCGGCAAATGACCCCGTGGCGATCTATCTTTCTCTGGCAGGTCCACGCGTGACATTCCTTTGGGTCACGCGAAGCTGTTCTGATATCCACTGGTCGGACTCAAACCTGACCATGTCTCCTCGTATATGGAAAAAAGCGTACAACAATGACCGAAAAAGGATCGGCGCTCCAAAGAGGCCGCCGCTATGGGGATAAGCGGGCGGCGGAGATATGGGAGAACCTAGGGAAGAATAACCTGTGGAAGAGGATTTTGAAAAACGTGACCGCTACTACTCTCCTCGTCAGCATATGTCTTATCCCAGGTTCCCGGACTGTTATTGGCAAGGCTGCCTATTTGGGCGCTATCACTACGGTGTTTGGTCACCCAGGTCGACGCTTTGGCCAAATGGCTGAAGCCCTTATCCTTGTTCTTTCCGGAACGGTACTAGGAGTGGCTTGGTCAGTTCTAGGGGTTTATCTTGGCTCTCTCGTTATCAAAGAGCACCCACCAGCGGCCTACGCGATTCGAGCAATTTTTCTAGCAGTCGTAGTACTGTTCCACGGCTATCTACGATCGAAGACGCCTCGGTTGTTCATTTTTGTCTTGCTCTTGGTCATTGTATCGGTGGTGTCTTTGACATCAACTGCCAAAGTGGTGACACCTCTTTCTGCGACAAATATACTCTATCCAATCTTGATTGCCGCTGGATGCATTACACTGGTCAATATATGTATCTTTCCTGAATTTAGCTCTAGATATCTTGGTCAGATGACTCTTGATACACTAAATGACACAGTCAAAGCCCTTGGAGATGCTGGTATTTACTTTGTCGAATCGAAAAGGGCGGTTGATCAGAACGGAGTCAAGACAGGCGAGAAAAGAGCTGATGCTTCTATGACTGGGCCAGCTTGGAACGCTACTGACGAAGAACGTGGGCTTCCACAGAAGAAAGTTACTAATTTAACAAACGCCCCTATGCACATCAAGGCCAAAGACATACTTCAAAGGTTATTCGCCAGCAAGTCTCAAGGGACTGACCACAGTGACCCCAAAAAGCTTCCAAAGACGAGTCTGGCTGACTTGACAAGCAATAAAGCGAAGATACGGAAGAAACTCTCAGATTGCAAAGCAGCTCAACAGGAGTGCAACTTTGAGCTTGCTGTATCCGTGTTGCCTCCTCGCAACATGAAACCCATCAGTGTGCAAGCAATGAAAAAGCTAGTGGCCAACACGATTGCAGTCATCAGCGCCTGTGAATCTAAATTCGCCCTCCTTGGTAGCGATGATGTTGGGCAAGCTTCCAATTCAAAGAAAACAAAGCCCGGTCCTGAGCTTGTAGATGAGAGTAAGACTCCGGCCATCTCAGCCCTGGTTGGAGCTACTTCCAACCTGCTTACTCCAGAGTTACCGTTGCCACACGAGAATCCGAAGCTGGGAAAACTGAACACCATCATCGAACAAGACAAAGCAGAGCTTGAGATGATTAAGCCGAAGCGCGAAATTGAATTTGGCGACGCTCGTCTGCTTCGGTATCTATTGGCTAGGGTGGCAAAGCCATACGAGGATCTGCACTTCGTCGTCGCTCGAACAGTTGAGGTAGTGAGTGCGTGTGTCGCTTACGCATATGATGTTCCCACCTTACCTTCTGGTGCAAGGGTTCCCAAAGGTATCTTGCTCGAGGAATTGGATATGCAAATGGACAGCCTCCAGAAAGCTCTGCTCCAATTTGACGCAGACGCGGCATCTGCTCTAGAAGGGGCTGCAACTCTGCAAGAATTAGAAGGCAAGGAGCTCGACATCATGCCTAGAGAAGAAGTCTTTCTGATGTCATCGTTCATGCTCAACGTACGGCAAGCAGCCTCGCATATTGAAAGTATGCTCAAACACTCTCGAGAATTAGTTGGACGTCGTCAGCAACGGAATGGACGTCGCCGTATTTATGCACCACATATCAAATGGTCGAACTGGCTGTATACAGGTGGCGAAGAGGATGAAGCACTGCCTAACAGTGGGCGCAAAGGCAACAGACAAGGTGCTTCGGATGAGCGGGAGGACGATGAAGACGACGCAGAGTCACTGAATAGCAAGAAAGGTTTATTGGCTCACCCAGGAGATCTGGAGAAAAACGCTCTCACTCCGGAGGTCAAGGAAGACGCCAAGCAACGAGAAAGAGAGTCGAGAGCAAGAGATTTCGAGCGCCAAGAAATACCTTACTCACTTCGTCTCCGTGGTCAAGCTGCCGACGCATTGGAATGGATCCAGCATTCGGAAGACTTGTTGTATGCCATGAAGCTCGGCGTCGCCGTTTTCCTAGTACTTTGGCCTGCATTCGTGGCTTCTTGGAATACCTGGTACTCTCTAGACCGGGGTCTCTGGGCTGCTTTACAGCTCGTCCTGATCACTGAAGTCTCCATCGGTACTTCTGTTTGGACATTTGTTCTTCGGGGTGTCGGCACTACAATCGGCTGTATTTGGGGCTGGGCCGCTGTTGAAGCTCGCGGAGGCAATCCGGTTGTTTGCGCTGCGTTGATCTTCGTAGCACTGTTCCCTTGCGCCTATGTGCAACTTGGAACCAAATATCCGAAGGCTGGTATGGTATGCATTGTCAGCATATGCGTTGTAGCTCTCTCATCGGAGTTAAATACCGTACCTGGTAGGTTCGATGAGCAATGTGTCTGCTTTACAAGCTGACCGAGATTTTAGGGACACCAACTGACAATTTTCTGAAGCGATGGATTGCTTTCATGATAGGTGGGACAGTGGCTCTGATCGTAGAATTGGTACTACTTCCAGTCAAAGCTCGCACGCGCCTCGTTGAATCTCTCGCTGCAGCTCTCGAACAAATCAACGAGATGGAGAAATGTATTGCCGCCGGCATTGAGCAAGGCGTCAAGATTGACGTTTACGCCGCCGCAAACATTGTACGCTTCGAAAACGCGAACGGAAAGGCTAACACCGCACTTGTCGCTGCAGAGACCTTCCTTCCCTTCTGCAGCAATGAGCCAAGGATCAAAGGCTCCTTCGAAGGCCTCGCTCTGATATACACCGAGGTTCTCTTCGTGCTTCACCAGATTGTCGACAGAATGGACAATATGTTGCAGCTACGGACGGCCTATGGTTCTGGCCCATTAGAGGAGCTCAATGCTGAAATCTACCCCTACCGTCGAAACGTCGCTGGTTCCATCACCCTGACACTCTTCGCAATTCATGGTGCCCTCACAACCAAGCTTCCACTCCCACAATACATTCCTTCAGCCCGGCTTGCCCACCTGCGCATGATCAACCGAGTGCGAGAAGTTGTTCTTGAGCAAGTGGCTGGGGAAGGTCATGACTCCCACGAGATCACCGCCAAGCTTGCACGCCAGCGGGCCGTGCGGAGAAAATACATGTCCTGGAATGCTGCGTCAGCGGCTCAAGCGGAGATCATTGAGTTTCTCGAAGAGCTCATCGATTTGACGAAGCTGCTCGTTGGGGCTAACGAGTTCAGGAGTGGGCTGTTGACGAGGCCTACATATCATGACTACGTTCAGAAATCTCAGAAGCAAGGCGCAGGGGATGATGGCGATGAAGTGGTAGCAGCTGAAGCCAGGGATGAGTTCGGAGAGACTCCCCTTGATACGGCAGGAGCGACGACACGAACGCGAGGGACGACGCTTGCTTCGGTGGACGCAGGGGCAGGGCTCACTAGACGCCGGCAAGGCACAACTCTGAGTTCTACGAGCGATGGTGAGGATGTGCCAGCCAGCTTACGCAGGATACAGAGCCGGAAGCTCGAAGCTGGGGTGCTGCGTCAGAGGACGAACGAGAGTTGGAAGTCACCGCATCAAGGCACATGAAGCAGCGAGAAAAGCATGTCGCATTGTCTGATAACCACGTCAACTATATGAGCGAGGGTACAGACATTGAAATCCCTGAACCAATTCCATTCACGTGGTGAAGTGACCACCAAGCTTGTACCATTTGCATGATCGATCCTCTCGTCGAAATGGACAATGCGAAAGATTCCTCCTGTCCAAGCAATGATCATCCACCATCCACGTATGCCATGACACGTTTGAAGATGAGCAGCCTCTTAAGCAGATGCACCATCCTCCTGGTCCTCAGTCTCTCCATTCATACCTTCTTCTTCCTCGTCCTCCTCTTTAGCCTCGACCTTGACCTTCTTGCTCGGACGGTCCTCCTCCTCATCGCCCTCATTGGGGCTGGGAGCAGCAGCGCGAGCGACGTTCTTGGGCTTGCGAACACGCTTTTTCTTCTCAGTAGGGGTCGTAGATCCATCATCACCGTTCTTGCGTCCACGCTTCTTGCTTGGAAGGATGTCAGCGCCTCCAGTCATGGTGATGGCAGCGGAGGCTTTCATCATCTCGCTGTACATCTTAGCTGAGGATTGGGTGGTGCGACCAGCAGGAACGGAGACATCGGCCCATTTAACTTTGCTGCCGAAGGTTTTAATAACGGAGACGAGGAGTGCGATCTTGGGGGTGTTAGTGGAGAGTGGAGAGGAGGGAGGAAAAGGGAGGTTAAGAGGGGGGAGGAGATACCTTTTCTGTGTCGGCCCATTTGGATGCGGGGATGGGGTTGGCGATTTCAGATCCCATTTTGGCTGCTGCAGAGTACTGAGCTTGCTGATGTTGCGATTGGCATGGAGATGATAAGATGAGGGACTTACAGTTTGTTTGCGTTGAGTGGTTGGTATCTGTTGAGATGATTTGAAAGTTGGAGGGTGAAAGAAGGGTGGTGATCTGCGTGATGTGAGCTCAGGATGTGTTGATTCTAAAAATGTAGAAACTCACTTTAGAATCTGAAAGTTCGAAACTTCCCGAGTCTTTGGGAACGTTGATGAAGCTGCGATTATGATTTAGCCTTCGGTATTGGCATAGACACTCTCCCTTGGGCCGGTATTGTGGGACAAGTACCTACTAGAAAGTGTGGTGATGTGGATAATGGAAGTTGATGGTTGAAGTTTGAAGGTTGAGAAAAGATACTGAGCAAGGATAGGGTCAAGTGAAATTGCATTCACTTTCCAACCCGGTATTGGCGCGGTACAGCACTAAGAATGATGACAGCCATGTGCTTCCTTGGGCATTGCATTTCGTGGGATCCACGACCTGTCGTAAGGAGGAGGGATGTGGTATAAGGCAGAACACCTTGGAATGTCAGAGATCTACAATCACCCCTATCGTAGCATGTTACTTCCAGAGGCCCAAAACGAAATCATTGATGTCCCATATTATCCTTTTCTCATTTCCAGCGATGATACCCTTCATGGACTCAACCAGTCAGAATCATAGGACTGAGCCACGAGTTGATATCATTAGATTCAGAGCATGCCTGGCTTCATCTCTTTAATGCGGCAAATCGCTTTGTTAATTCGTCGACGTCTGGTATCTTGCCCCCAACTATGTCTTTCTTTGCTCCGGACTCTCTGCTTGTCGCAGTGCTTTGCGCATCTGTGTCAGATGTCTGTTTCTTCAAGCCGCTCATCTTCGCCCCAGGCTTCAGTTCTGGTGGACCTGGTAGTCTTACTCGCGGATTGAGATTGTCTGTGCTTGGACTTGGAGGTGCTACGCTGATCGGCGACCTCGGACCAAGATCTCGTGGGGGTGTAGCTTTGCTCAACTCATCTGTTGTCAAGGGCTCTTCCAGGTTCTTCACTGCCTGACCGCCCGAGGGTTTGTCATCGTCCCCATCGTCCTGGGCATCCAGGGACTCTTCCTTCCTCGGCCAATTCACACCGTAAGTTCTAGCAATCTCCTTCAAGTACAATGTCACCAGCTCTGGTTCTGGAGGCTCGACTCTTAGCTTTTTGAGCACTCTTTCCGCGACCTTGCCATCTGAGTTCTCCACAGCCTCCAGCGCAAAGTCCTTTCCATATTTCTCCACCAATAGTGCCCTTGCCTGCTGAAGCTCTTTGACATCTGTTCGTGGTGCAGCGTAGATGATGGATTTGATCGCCTCTTCTAGCCCGGGATCACATTCTTTAGCTTCTAACAATCCTGTCCTTGCCAAAAGAAGCTCGCAGTATAACTCAAGGACTTCTAGTAGTTCGGTAGTGATATCAGAGCGAATGATGTTCTCGACACGGATGCGTGCTGATTCCTCTTTGCCTTGCTGGTTCGCCCCACGCATTAGCCTGACGCCAATCAACACGGCAGATCGATATGTACTTCAAGCAATACAGCCATTGCCCGTCTTTGTTGCTTCGCTATAGCTGTGTCCTTCTGCTGCACCATGCGTAGCCTACTAATGGATAGCTTGAGCTGGACCTTGATCTTTCCCTTGGAAGAGTCAGCACGGACTGTGCTAAGCAGCAGACGCGAAGGCTTACGACAATCGCCGAAGAAGGAGCCATCTTGGGGTTTTCGAAGCGCTGGACGTTACGGCATTAAGGCGCATATTAAGTCGGAGCAAGGACGCTGTAGCCTGCACTTTGTGCTTGTACTTTAGGTGGGACTAAGCGAGGCAAGCGCCAGCCGCGGTGTTTCCTTTGCGGACAGTGCGTCACTCTAATAAATGATCACTAATCAGTATCTCTGGAAAGCAACATGGAGTTGCATAGCAACATTATCAAAGATGAGCTGGCATGGGACATGTTGATATCTATGCAAGTTAACAATCTATAATGACGTATTTTCGTGGACTCTTGCCAAGTGAGGGCGGACTGATCTAAAACACGGCTGGTGACGGGTAGTGTTTTGTCCAAATAGACGGTTCATCCGTAAGCATTCATTCCAGCTCACGTGCAGCATTGACACCCCCGGATGGTGATGAGCGTAAAGTAAGCCTGAGGTATTTATGGATCCTTCCATCCGCCTGACGGGCATTCTGAGTGGCAAGAGCCTTTGCAGCAGCTCCTTCCTGTACAACGGTAAGTATCCTCCACGAAAACACCAACCTTCTTTCCTTACTTCCTCCATCATCATTTCGCTCTAAGACGAATGTCCGTTCATTCTATGTGAACTCTACCTAGCCTCAACATCCAACAGAGACAATTTTCCCAATACCTATTCCGTCAGTCGCTTCCAAGTTGGAGGGCAAAGTCGTTGCATCCACTGCACTGGCTTTGCACCAAGCCCCAAGCTAATCCCAAAATAAGATGTGTACTCAGAACCATAATAGGCAATACTCAGGCGACGGGCCCCAGTGCCTCCCATTTCCTCCGGAGATCCTTGTGCAAGTCATTGGTCTTCTTAACAAAGCTTGCGATAGAAGGAGTGCCAGACTGGTGTGCAAAGGCTTTGCACAAGCTGGCCTACCGTCGCTTACGCATACGGTCAACCTCTCTGTCCCCAGCGGTCTTCTAGACAGGACTCGAGCGATCGCGGAGCATCCGGTTGTCGGCAAGTACATAATCCAGATGGTCTGCAGTGGCACGCAGCTACTTAGCGACGAGGTGAATTATGGCAACATCCAGAATTTGCATGGGCCGACGACGCGTCAGACCGAGCTTTCAGTGCCATTGCCAGTCGTCTATGAACAGTTGTTGTCAAGAGATGAGAAAGGGAAGAGAATCACTCATTGTCAAAGGGCGCAGGCCATTTTCCTTCTTGCTCTCCAACGGTTCGTGAATCTCAAGCGCATTACATTCACGGAGGTTCCACTCGCCGAAGAGAATCAAGATCTGGTCCGTCCGCAGTGGCCACGCGTTGCAAATGGTGGAGACCGGTGGGAGCCCGCCTCGCCGTATCAAATGTTTGCCGTGGGCATCCGATTGTTGTATACACAAGGCACCAATCTAGAACAACTCAGGATTGTAGGCTCAAGCTATGCCCTACGGGACAGGATATTCTCCGATGCTTCCCAGACATATTACGGTCACATGCTCAACGTCTTTCGCAAGCTTCACTGTTTCGAATTATCCGTGATTGTACCGGATGTCACTGTGGAGTATGACCCACAAGCTCTGACTTACGGCGGTCTCGGAGGCCTTTTGACACAAGCGACATCTATAGAGACATTGAAGATGGCAAGCTCCTATTGGCCAGGGCCACCGGACGAGGATGACTGCCCACCATCGTTAGACGTTCCAATGGTTTTCCAAAGCTACACCTGGTCACACCTCAGGCATCTAGGCCTGCGTGGCTTCTTGATGATAGGCCATGAAGACCTCATGGGCTTCTTCGATCGTCACGGAGCAACACTCGAGAGCGTCGAGCTGATGGTCATGAGGATCCTGCATCACCCCGACCCTCAGGATACCATATGCGAAGCTTGGAAGCATCTGTTCAATGGACTGCGATGCCGTGGGATCAGTCTCCAGACACTCAGGTTGTCCCTTCTGCAAGACTGCTACGACTTGAAAGGTCACTTCTCTGAGCCTGACGATCCTGCCTATCATGGCAAGAAGATGCTCAAGTACCTCCTCCAAGGGGGCATAAATCCATTGGAACCTGTCTTTCCTGTCACTGACTTGATGGCTTGAGACCTTCTTTTGCAGGTAAGCTGCAGACGCATCCAAGGCGTCGTGGCAATCGTGGACGGGAAATGATGTGTGAGAAGGCTGTCGAAAACGATTGGCACTTGTGGTGCTCGAAGTAGAACTGACTTTCTGTATCACATATACTTGATCAGATTTGTTATTGAAAATCAGTAGATCAGTAGCCTTCATAGACTTATTATCATCAAATTACCTTGATTACCCAATCAAAGTTCTTGGGATCGGACCTCGTGAATTTCAGTCTGTTTGCAGCGTCAAGAATACAACAGTAAAGATATTCCAAGAACCTTTATCCCCATCCAACCTTCCCACCATCCGCCCCAATAACACCGGACACGGCGAATAAATCGGGATCCACCCACTCTACTTCTCCCTATCGCGCACGGCCATCCTTCTCCCCTCGATCAGAATGACCGCCAACGTGCGCGAGCCCCAACCCGTCCCTTCACGCTCCCCTTCCCCACCGGAGGACATAGCCGCAGCAATGGGCTTCTCCTCCTTCGGCGCGAAACCCAACCCCCCGAAGAAGAAACGCAGACTAGCCGATCCGAACAGCGAGGGAAGCGGAAGCAACAACACGCCCCTGGGCGTGAGGACACGAACACCGGCCGGGCAGCAGGCGAAGGAAGACGTCGGGCGAGATCGGGGCCAATCGACCGAGATGGGCGTGGGAGGGGCGCAGGGTCAGGAACGGAGGCCACCCCAGGAGGAATGGACCGGCCTGGCGAACCCGGACCCCCTCGCCGCCGCGGCCCTCGACGAAACGGCCGGCATGCTGCTCGAAACGGGCCGGTTGCCGCGGTATCTCGACTGGGATGAGGGTCGTGTCGAGGGTGGGCGGCGTGATGATGGAAAGTGGCGGGTTGGAGGGGATGCGGGGGAGGGGATGAGGAGGCAGGGGAAGAGAGGGGACGGGGAGTGGGATTGGCAGGCGTTGAGGCGGGGGGTGGTGGTGGATGAGAGGGGGGATGTGGCGTTTTACGATGGGAGTTTTGTGGAGGATCCTTGGAGGGGTTTGGGTGGTGGGATGGGGGAGGGGAGGTGAAGGGCTGGGAGAAGGCTGGGGGGGGGGCGGTTGGGGCTACGTTGTGGGCATGGTTTCGGTGGGTGAGAAGGGGGTGGGTCGGCCAGATACGAAAAGGACTGCAAAGGGAGAAGGCGGATGGGCAGGTCTAAGACTAGGAGTGTGGGCGAAAGTTCTATTGGACGGCGTTATGGTAGATACCCTAGCGATATGACGCCTAGCTGATTGCTTATGCAGGACGGATGTAAGACTTGTAGGGCGTAGCGGCACTCTGTGTGGAGATGCTCGGGTCTCAGAAAAGCGAGGAGATATTCTCCTCTAAGCGTAGCTCCTCAAACTCTGAAAACAAAATACGTCTCGAAGAGCACAAGCGTCAACCAAAAAGACTGCATTAGTCTATGGACACGACCTCACTATCGCCGAGACGTTGCACCCCCACTGCCGCTGCTCCCCCTCCCCGGATTTTCCAGACCACGAGGAGAACCGAAGTGGGTTCCCTGCAGAATACATGCGTTCGAAGCCAGCAAATCACAGTTCCAGCTGTTCCCAACGAGAAGACTAACAGCCGCGCGTCAGGGGTGCCTGTAAAACGTTGCAAGAACGTTGAAAAAGCGGCAAGAGACCAAGGGTGCTGCGGCAGGGCAAAATACTAGCGAGCATATTTCAACGACATGTCACCCCCTTTTCACATATACAGTCGCAAATCACCCATGAAAGAAGAAATAAAACGATGTCGATGGATTAAATGGAAGACATATTGTTTAGTGCTCTGGTGATGGATATCGCTGGCTGGCTCGGGCGTATTGTTTGGGGTATTTTCGCTCAGTCTTGGTCTTGAGTGTACTAGGACGGTGTCAGTTTCCCATTGGCAGGGTAGTAAAAATCCATGATGATGAAGATTTGCGAAGAGAAGTCTTTGCTCACTTTACGCGTTTCTGAGTCCAGTCAAGGTCCTTCTTCACCTCTTTTGCGGCCTTCATGCCGTCTGTGAAATTGGCACGAGAGTTTTTCAGCCGGCGCTGAGCAAATTCTTGCAACTCGAGAAGCTCGCGATTCTTAGCATTCAGTTCGCCGGACCTGTGGAGTCTCAGCAAATGTACGTGAAGAGCTCCGCTCTCGTCCTTTGCAACAAGACACAAAGCAAACATTGACCGCAGAATTACTTACGTCTGCGCCTGTCGTGCCAAACTTCTATCCAGCGGCATAGGGCTCACAGTCGTGCTTAGTTTGTCATTGAGTAATTCAACGAGATCGATGCCAGAAGATGCGCCGTCGCCGTATTCGCTGCTGTTGCTGCCGGAGTCGGATGTCAAGGATGGCACAGCTGAGGTGTTGGCGCTGGAGCCACGTTGTGGTGGCGAAATGGCAACACGACCGTATGGCGCTGGGTAGGCGACTGGAAGCTTGGAGGCCGGCTTTCCAGGCATGGCGACAGGTCGAGAGTAAGTTGGAGCTTGGTAGCGGGTTTGAGTAACAGGCATGTCGGCGAGAGTGAGGTAGATATATACGTAAGGTTGGGTTTGGAAGATAGAATTAAACAATGATGACGTGTTGGGGTATAGTGATGTGGTGAAGTGCTTGTGTGGAAAGGGGTCAAGCCTTAGAGGTAAGCAAGGACAGGTGCAGGAGGCGAGGTCAAGCCGGCTTTCTGCTATAGGTTTAGATTGAAATGGGAGAGAAGGAGATGAGGGAAATATGATGAAGAAGAAGAAAGGAACATAGGAAAACGGGGCCATGCCCTCCCTTTTGTACCCACCTCGACTCCCTCTTCATCGGCCAATGCGAGAGGCAAGCTGATAGCCACCATGACCCATAAGACTCTGACCCCGCTTCGATAGAGTGCAAGAGACATTTTTGGAGTCTGACTAGCCCGTAAACCTTCTCCACGGATCCTGGCTCTGGCCTGTAAGATGGTTCGGAGACCCTCCAAGGCGAGCAAATTCCGGAACCGGATCCCTTGCTGCTTGAAAAGTTTGAAAGGTCTGGCTTCTTCTAGGCGCGGCAATTGGTGCGATTGCCCCAAAAGCACGCTCCTTTAGTTGGATTTTGCACTGGTGTGGGTTACGTATTGATAGCGTTGCAGGTCTTGATTGATGAAGGATGCTACGACCGCACTGCGTGGCAGGCGATCTGTGCACCTTTCTGAAATCGCTTGGAAAAGTCCGAGACGCTACTATGTAGCTTTACGCAAGAAAGAGGCATATACGCCGAGTGTCTGGAATGTCCAATGAGCGTCATGTCTGAGATGCGTTGTCCCTTCGGGCTCTGCCTATGACATTGGGTAGCCGTACATCCTCCGGTGAGGCCTTGTCTCTGGTCATTGCGGCAGGTGGACACGAAAAATGCCTCGTACCTGCCGAGTACTTAGACAGCTGCCGCGTGACATTGTCATGCAAGGTATGTAACCGCAGGCTGTGTCCAACAATGCCATAACGTTGCTGCCTTCTGGTAGGCTATGGACTGTCGTTGGCGCGGACCCTGCAGTTGCCCGGACGGACATCCCATAGGGCTGAACGCAATGCACACATCATTTATCTTGACCGCTCACTCGATTTCTTACAACATTTGTGAATTGAGACTTGTCATGGAGATTGCATCTATTGGTTGTCTATGAATAATCCATCTGAGCTTTAGCTCTGGCCATAGTCTGGGCAAAACGCCCTTCTCTGTCCCGATCTTGCTTTGCCGTCTCAATGCCAAGCAAAATCTTCTTGATACCAACGCCCACAGATTCGCTCCGTGTTATCTCGCGAAGCTCTTGGATCGCACGATCTGGGTTCCCGAACACGCCTGACTGCTTCATGATGAAGGAGAGTTCAGCGTGGCCCATGACGTTCGGCACAGCGATGTCTGAATCGAAGGACGTGAACACGTCTAATTGTTGTAGAACGGACCTTTCTCCTGTTGTTGCAAGAACTAGAAGTCTCCTACCCTTTGGTGGTTCCTTCTTGAGGAGGACCATAAGCGCTTGGAGTACGCCGTTACTAAATCGTGGACCAATCGGCACCCACTCCACAATCCGCTCAATATTGTCTATCAGGACCACACTCAGGGGACTCTTGTAGGCATCATCAAAAATGCGACGCATATGCTCAATCTTCATCGACTCGTTAAATCCGACCATATTGTCTGGACTGCACATCTTGATAAGAGGATAGCCACTGTCTAGCGCGATCTTCGCCGCGAGTGCGGTCTTACCCGATCCTGGCGGGCCATACAGGATAGTTGAGAATAACGGAGTACTCTCTGGCTCTTGTACTTGCTTGACGATGAGACTCGCCTCGTTCAAGATACCATCAATAGCCTCCGAGAAGCGGATGATACCACCACGAAGGCACCGTTGCATTTCGTCTTCTGAGACACCAAAAGCAGGCTTGACATCGTCAAACGCGTGCTTAAAATCGTCGCGGTTAACAGTCATCTTGTCAACGTCGTCGGAGACGCCAGCAAGAGTGCCAACCTTAACATGCCGGTTCAGAGCAAAAGAGGTCGCACTTCGGACCAGACCACTGATCTCGGCACCACTGAAGTTCTTAGTCAAATGAGCAAGCTCCTCTAGATTGACATCAGGATCTAGATTACCACTTTCCCTCATCTTAGAGGTGTGGATCTTCAAAATTTGAACTCGACCATACTCATCTGGCAAGGAGATTTCCATATGCACCTCCAACCGGCCAGGTCGAAGCAGGGCATCATCTATCATATCCATTCGATTGGTCATTCCGATAAGTAGGATATTGTTGAGTTGGTCGACACCGTCAAGTTTCGAGAGCAGCTGATTGACAACACTGTCCCCAACGCCTGTACCTCCACCTGCACCACTACCTCTCTGCTTGCAAACCGCATCAAGCTCATCAAATATGATGATGTGCAAACCACTCTCATCTCCTTTCTCCTTGTACTCCTTTTCGGCGTCTGCGAAGAGCTTTCGAATGTTCTCCTCGGATTGGCCCACGTATTTGTTCAGGACTTCCGGTCCATTGATGACTTTCGGCTCTCGAGCGTTTAGCATTTTGCCTATCCTCCGAGCAATTAACGTTTTCCCCGTCCCTGGAGGACCAAATAGCAATATGCCTTTGACATGCTGGATGCCCATTGACTCAATCAGCCCGGGTGGGAAGATGCGGGAGGCAAACGCTCTTCGGAAGATAGCACTGAATTCTTTATCTAACCCACCGATTCCCATGTCTTCGAACTTGAAGTCGGGGGTAAAGATGGCATTAGCAGCAGGTCTTCGTTTGGAGGCCTTCAAATTCAACCTGGATTTGGCATCTTTGAAGAAATTCATTTGACTCTGGCGTGTAAGAATTCCACGGCTGCGGACATCGGACATACTAGGCTCAGATCCAGCTGAAGGCTTTTCCACGGAGAGGTCGACAAGTTGAATGGCCTTGACGACAACAAGTAGTTTAAGACTCTTGTAGTCCATGAGGACTCGTTGACCGGGCGCAAGGACTTGGTTTTCGTACTTCTACACATCGTTAGCCAAATTAATCTTTCATCCTGTCCCATTTTCATACCCTAGTAAAGTATTGTTGTAATTCATCCTGATCATAAGGGTCCTCTGTCTCCCTTTTAGTCGCAAAGCTGATTTCCGCATCTAAAGACCCAAGATAGCGAGGGCCACCCTCTTGAAACGGGTCATACTTCTTGACGTACACTGTATCCTGGAGGCTGATCTGCGCCCAGGTTCTCTGAATGTCCGAGAGACTGATATGTCCTTGGGCGAAGCCATCAGACGTTCTTGCGGTGCAGACATAGAGGTCATTGAGGATGACATAGAAATCTGAGCTGACTTGAGATGGAGGAAAATCGAAAGGCGAAACAGCGACTAGGTTCCCGTATGTGTAACTCTCTTCTGGGGACTTTGTCGGTTGTAGCTGCCATGTCTGGCCTCCTGACCCTTGTCTCGACTGTCCTCGAGAGTATTCGTGCTTGTCTGGTGGTGCGCCATCGTAGTAGGGTCTCTGGCTGTTTGCTGGTGGACGGCCGTGGGGACCGCCATATCGATCAGAGCTGCCCGGGGGTATTCGACTGTAAGGGCCCGAAGGCTGCTGTTGGGAGGGGGGTTGACTGGGAGGAGTTGGTCGAGGGTTACGGCCGAACATGTTGGCTTATTCTTCCGGACCAAATCTGGATAGGTTCATTATGAGGGAATTATCCCAAGCTTAAGTCTCATATGGCTGCCTGGTCTGTGATGAAAGCCTCAGGGAAGGTGTCTTCTTGAGAATGACAACAACGGCCAAATGCTCAGCTGCGGCCTTGGCGCCGAGAAGCGCCAAGGTTCAATTTTCTGTTGCACTCCGAGTTCGCTGTACCATTTCATCACAGGCGCAAATATCCAAATCATCAGGGGCACCACCACCACCATGCTGTACTTGATCGGACTTGGATTGGCTGATGAGACCGATGTCACAGTCAAAGGCCTTGAGCTGATCAAAAAGGCAGAAAGAGTGTATCTCGAAGCATACACAAGTATCCTGTTGGTAGACATAGCGAACCTGGTAAATCCCCTTTTCAACACATACAGCCTTATAGACCTGACGCTGAAGTTTTTCACAGTAGGAAGCATACTATGGCCGTCCTATTATCGTGGCAGACCGCGAGATGGTCGAATCTGCAAGTGACGAGATACTAGCAGGAGCCGATACCTCAGATGTCGCTTTCTTGGTGGTCGGAGACCCTTTTGGGTACGAGGGTCACGCCATGATCCCAGGATCGTAATTTCGCGAGGCTAATCAATGACTACATAGAGCCACCACCCACACCGACCTCGTCCTCCGAGCTAGAGAACTCCAGATCCCGGTACGAAGCGTCCATAATGCCTCTATAATGTCCGCGATCGGAGCTACAGGACTTCAACTCTACAATTTTGGCCAGACTGTCAGCATGGTCTTCTTCACAGACACCTGGAAGCCTTCTTCATTCTACGATCGACTGAAAGAGAACCAGCAAATAGGCCTGCATAGTCTTTTACTCCTAGACATCAAGGTCAAAGAGCAATCGCTAGCGAATCTTGCCAGAGGCCGAAAGATCTACGAGCCGCCTCGGTTCATGACCGTCGCCGAATGCGCAAGTCAGATGCTCGAGACAGAGGAAGAGCGGGGGGAAGGCGTATGTGGGCCTCAGAATTTGGCTGTTGGTGTGGCTAGGGTTGGCGCTTGGAATCAGAAGATGGCTGCTGGGACGCTGAAGCAATTGAGTGGCATAGACCTTGGGGCTCCTCTGCATAGCTTGGTATTATTGGGAAAGAAAACACACTATCTGGAAAGGGACTTCGTTCGAGACTTTGCGGTCAAGCAGGACGTGTTTGATACTGTATGGAGCGAGCTATACGAAGGGAAGCAGTGACCAAGGCAATCGGTCGGCGCGGGTGGAGTCGTCGTTGGGTTGCTGGAGGCGGCGTCAGAGGATTTCAGGCAGTTGAAGGATCCAGGTCGTCTGTAGAATCATATTGAATGCCTCAATTGTTACTTAACCAGAGCTTCTGTAGAGGTAATTGCCGCCATTGAGGGGTTGCTTCTGACAACATGCGGGAACCCCTCGGAAACTTTAGGCCGCTGATCCCGAAGTAGCTTCACTAGGTATAAATGTAGCTGCACTGCAGATTTCCTTTTCACCCTGCTTCACCATTCCTCTTTTCGCAACCCCTCTTCCTTTACCATCCCTACCTCACTCCATATCATCCATTCGCAAATCCTGATATTCATGCATGCTACTGCCACAGCTTCCGGCAAGGCACAGATTTAGATACCTCTCCTTCCATTGCAATGTATTTAGCAAGTGGAGCTTGCTGCATGGGATTGCTCCAATTGGCAAGATCCCGCGTCTAAAGGCCGACATGTCTTCATTCCATTTTTAAATTTGTAGCAGTTCACTAGTATTCTCCGAAAGAATCAGCATCTATATCACACCTGTGTTTTACCTCAGTCACTGTTTGCTTTGTCCCAGTATATTGCACCGGCGGCTACTTTGTGTTTACATGTGTGTGTGTGTGTGTGTGTGTGTGTATGAGCCAGTAATCGACTTCTAATAGCGTCCGGAAGCACTGGTTTTTGGTGGTTCTTCAAAACTAGGACACTGCATTGGAAGGTCCAGCTCTGTTCCAGAGATCATACTGGGTGAATATCTACGGTTAGTTCGAGTCGTGATTCAGCGTTTGAATTGTGAACAGCTGTGGGTACACGACGGTTAATGGCTTTGCACATTCACGTGGTACATAGATACAAAAAAATCTTGCCCATGGTCTTTGGATAGCGGACACACTTCCACACATCACAGCGTCTTGGTGAATACAATCTCACGTCTTTCATTAGGCATCCACAAACACCACGACCCATAGTCTACTTGACGATCATCCATCCTACTTCTGACATCTCGAAACCTACATCACGACTGTTAGCGCGACCCTTCCAAATGCCTATCTACCTTATTCACGGATTTCGTTGGCAGCGCAACCAAGGTCATCATGGCATCGGTCCCTACATCATTATGAACAATGTCCTCGATGCTGCCGTCAACTACACAATGACTGAGAGCAGCTCTGCTGCTCTTATCGAGAGCCTCCGCGCTCAACATCCAGACATCATGGCTCAGCTGCCAAATATCCGCTTGGTCGAACAAGGCAGCCTCGAAAACGGCACCCAACCATACGCCTACCTGTGCGACACGGTTGTTGAGCACGATCTCAGTATTGATCTTACCGGCCGGCTGCAGCCGAGCGCAGGATCACAGTGGAATGCAATGTCCGACTTGATCGACGTTTTGGCACCTGGGGCGAGACTTGGGTGGTATGTGGTGCACAACGATGATCCGTTCCGCGGTGGGAATCCTCCAGTGGCCTACAAAGATACAGAGCAGGTTCGTGATTGCTACCCAATTGCTTTGATCACATGCTGATTGAACGCCAGGCGCGTGCTGGAAGCGGCGAGAGGGGTGGGAAGAAGGGTGGACTCAAGGGATTCTTCGGCGGAAAGAAAGGGGTAAAGACCTGAGCATAGGCGGATCACACAGTCCATAATAGGTACGGCTTCACGGGCTCATTACCAGTGCAACAGGGTACAATGTGCTCTACTGACCATATGCAAGTCGCCCGCCTCGGCCTGTACGTGGGGAACAGGCCGGTGATGACAGAGATGCTTATGGAGGCTTTGAGCAGTATTGGTGGGGATATCATAACGCTGTGATTATCAAAGTGATAAGATAGCCTCTGACAGAATATCAAACCGCCCAAAAATCTGGAGACGCTTTCTCATTAAACTGACGGTCTATATATGGGCGAAGGGTCTTGAAATGTGGCGGTTTCCCCCTTTCTCAAGCTTGTTGCTTGTGGCAATGACCGAACACATGCACTTTTAACATGCTGTTCCACGGCCGTTGAGATGTCGATTGGAGCGCTCCAAGACATTCCATTGGCAAGTGACATAATCGACGTACGAGTAGGTAGGTACCTGCCAAGCTAACAGTCTGTAGCCCCCATCCACGTCTGCAGCCCCACTTTCGTTTCCCCGCCTTTTGCCTTTTCTCCGCATATCGTCACTCTGCACAAATACTTAGTACACAATTCGAGTCTAGAGTATGGAAGAGTTTGTGCTTCGCCCTAATGCATGACCGAGAAGTGACGACGAATAATTTCACGATCGACAAAGCATTGGAAGCCACGAGCAAATTTGAGCTGCCGAACCACCAAATGGATGCAGCTAGAGGTTTACCACATCCCAAGCCCCGTGCGATAGAGTATAAAAATATGGAGTACCCCTCAGCAGCTCAGTCAGATCTTTCCGTTGAGCTTTTCAATGTCATTGGCATCCAACTATGCGTGCAGCTACTCTTATCGCGGCTTCGGCCAGCCTCGCGTTTGGTCAACTCGACGTAACAGCTAAGGACTCCAATGGGTGAGCGACGTTTGAATTGAGCTGTACCTTCAACGCTGATCAGACTTTAGAAATACTCTTCCAGTCTACTCTCCCTCACGCCCTCCAGCTATTCCTCTTGCCGTCCGTTCTCCATATACCAGCGCATGGAGTTCTACTTCGAATAATGGCACATTGAATACCAATGGTGTGATATTCTGGTACGGGACAACACTGAATGCGCTTGGAGTGGCATAAAGAGACTGACCACGGTAGGCCAGGTACTCCTCTCGGCTGGGAAGGGGTGAGTAACTAGAGTACGCTGGTGTTTGAGATCAAGAGCTTAGTATCTCATAGATTGTTACTGTCGATGGGACTTCCTACGAATACCTTGGGACTGGCTCATCGACCCTTCCTACACTGCCAAATCTGAAGCCCGCTATCCCCTTGACTGTCAGCTATGACTCACAATACTCCAACTTCACGTTTGGTGCTGGTCCCATGGAGATCACGGCCAGTTTCCTATCGTCTGTTTTACCAAAAGATCTCTGCCGGACAAGCATTCCACTAAGCTATTTGACAACTTCTGTAAGGTCTACAGACAATGACAGTCACAGTGTGCAATTCTACAGCGATGTCAATGCAGCCTGGGTGGCCTACGAGAACAATGTCACTACGCAGTGGACTTTCTATGAAGGGTCTACCCCGGCGAATGGAAGCATCAATGCCACGAATCAATCTTCGATATACAGTTGGTAGGTATCACCGACTGGAAACTCTTGACCCACACTAACTAGATTCAGGTTTGTCTCTTTAGAGAACGCGTATGAGTTCGCTGAGGAGTATGGTACGTCTTTTCGGAGTCCATGTTTCCGCTTTCGGACAATTTTGAGTCTTGACTCTCGAATCATGTTCCAAGCCTCGATAGAACCTCCCGAACAGGCAATGCTAACTGCGAAATTATAATTCAGACAAACCTCTATGTATGTGTACCTCTTGCTTTGAAGCCTAAAGATTCTTACGACCAAAATCTCAGGGGGCAACTTGAGCTACTCTACGTCGTCCAATTTCTCAGGATCAACCAATTTCAGCTACCAGAGTGGATATTCGAGCAATCTCCAATACCAGTATGTCATGAAGCATTCATTGCAAGACTTCGTTGATCCCGGCTATCGGCCTTTTGGCACGCGAGATCCTGCTTTTGCCTTTGCGCATGATTTTGGAACCGTTTCTTCGGCTTCCGTGATGTACACAATTGGAGAGGTTCAACAACCTACGATCCGATATCTCACTTCCCAAGGTGTCGAGTCGTTGCAACCGTGGTGGACACAATGCTATGGCGATATCTTCCAGATGATCAATTTCCATTTTAACGATTTTTCTACGACCCAGCAATTGGCTTCCAGATTTGAAGTCCAGCTCAAGGCAGACGTGGATTCGTACTATAGAGCGAACATGGCTATGGTTTACAGCAATAGCACCATCGGTCCACTTCCCTTTTACTCTAACGGGTCTCAAACCTACACCAATAGCACCGACCAGTACGGAGATCGATACATCTTTGACCCAAACAACATGTACGGTTTCTTGAATCCTTACAACTTCAGCGGAGTCCCCATTCCGGATATTGAAGAAGCCCAGGCATATTACTCTATTGTTGCCCTGTCAACTCGACAAATCATGGGAGCCTACGTTTTGACCGTACCCCCTTCTGGTGGCTGCTCGAACGGTGGTGTGAACGTGTCAGAGCCACTGTTCTTCCAGAAAGAGATATCTTCAGACGGAAACGTCAACACTGTCGACGTCCTTTACCCAGCTATGCCATTTTTCCTATATGCGAATCCAGAGCTACTTCGATACAGTCTCGAGCCTTTGTTCCAGAATCAGGAGAGTGGGTTCTATCCTAACGGCTACAGTATGCATGACTTGGGCACGAACTTCCCCAACGCGTGAGTGCACCTTTCCGAGCATTTCCCTCCAATCGATGCCATAGTTTAGTCCTAAGACATGTCTCGAGAGCAAATGTTCACAAAGCTTCCCAATCTCGTTTTGTAACTCAATTTTCTGCCTCAAAGAAGTCATACTGACTCCGAAATGTGCAGGACTGGACATGTGGAGGGCAATGATGAGTACATGCCAGTCGAAGAAAGTGGGAACATGATCCTCATGACCTATGCCTACTACAAGTTCTCTGGAAACTCGGCATTCGTCCAGCAACATTATGCGAAACTCCAACAATTCGCTTCATACCTGATTGAATACTCGCTACTTCCGGGCCTTCAGGTCAGCACTGACGACTTCGCCGGCGCGCTGGTCAACCAAACCAACCTAGCAATCAAAGGCATTGTCGGCATTCAAGCTATGTCTTTCATATCCACCTTAGCTAATGACTCGTTCGGCTCCCAAAACTATAGCACAACGGCCAGAAGCTTCTATAGCCAATGGGAAGGTTTTGCCATCGATCCTTCAGAGAAGCATACCATGCTCGCCTACCAATGGCGCTCAACCTACAGTCTTCTCTATAACACCTACCCAGACGTGCTCCTCGATCTGAATCTCATTCCGAACTCGCTCTACGACATGCAATCAACCTATTACCCTACTGTCAGTCAAGTATTCGGCATCCCCCTCGACAGCCGCCACAGCTACACCAAGAGCGACGAGTCCATGTGGACAGCTGCAACTTGCACGCCTGAGACCAGGAGATTGTTCGTTAACGCTCTGGGCTATTGGCTCAACGAGACCACGACGCAATACGCATTTACCGATCTGTACGATACAATTGATATGGGCGCGTATCCTGTGAGTCCGAATCCGGTGACTTTCATCGCGAGACCCGTTGCCGGTGGGCATTTCTCGTTGCTGGCGCTGGAGAGAAAGGGGCAGCTGGGGGTCTTGGGAACGGGATTTGGAACTAGCGAGAATTCCACGACATTGCCTTGATAAAAGCCTGAAAAGTCTACCTTCACGTAGTGTCACCCGAAACATGTAAGGAATTAATAATGCTGAGTCCACTCATTTGGAAAAGTCGACAAAACTTCTGACCGTTCACAAACTTTGGCTTCATTAGATGCGACTGTCAAATCAGATGCATACTGGAGTGTTTATCATGGCACTTTCTTCAGCGCACACGGTATGATGCCTTCGAAGGAGGGCTTTGGCCAGGTATGGGTCCACTTTCTCTAGCCTAAATAACCAAGATGTTTCAGGTATTTAGGGATTTGACACCAGGCTCGGGCCGCGTATCTGTACTTAGCTTCGATCCGCAGCTCATCCCTATCTTTCTCTGGACCCATAACCACGGTGACATGGACTCGCGCTCGGCATGTGCTGTGTGCGCTGATGTGGTCGATTTGCTTCAGTTACCCAGTTCTATCTCTACTCCTGGTCCTCTTTCCTCGAGGAGGTCCAACGGGAACTGGTCATTTGCAAACATTGTTGCGATCAGTGTCTGGGCGCCTTGTCCGGCGGAATTTGTGAATCTCAAATGAAGTAAGCGGTTCCCTCTGTTCTGCGCCAACCGGGCTAGTGTTGTGGGTGCAGATGATATTGTCAACGGGACCGCAATGTGAACTGGCGCCCTCTCTGACTGTTGGGCCGAAATTGAATGCCGGTTCTGGTAGCCCTTGATCTGCTGTTGCTGATATAAATCTGTTTGAATATCAAGCGTATTCGGGCATGGGAGTATCTTTTAACGAATGATCAGTTCCTCCAGCAATCAGAGTTTGGAGGGTTGATCACCACTTTTGGAGGAAATACTGGAACATCGAATGGACTGCGGGCTACTATTTGGTGGAATGACTAGACCGCAGACTCCCCATGGAGTACTGGCTCTCACGGTCGGGTAAAGGTCTTTCTCTAGTATGAGCGTACCTGCGACGTGCATGAATCTGCTCGCATCTTCCTCCCATCAAATCTCACGGATCCAACTTAGGAAGTCACATCGGTCATACGTGGGTTGTTTTGGGAATCTACGCCACGCCATTATTACTCGAGAAGATGGCTATTTACGGAAATTCGACGTATCTTTCGGGCATGATCGAAGCGTCTTGCCGCCGCAATGCTCCGTTGTTAGGGTTGCCTAGTGCCCACCCAATTGCTGGTAGGAATATCGGATGCTACGAATCGCACCATGTCTTGAGATTTTTCTGTCCATGACCATTGACTGGCCATCGATGCTCCCTGCTGCGCCCTACAACACTAAAGTGCGATGATCTGAGATTGACTTAGAGTTCAGGGCAAGACAAAATGACGAAATTTATACGCCGCACGAGCCTCGAATAAAACCCAACACCAAAGTTTCATGTAATCTTATCAACAAGCTTAAAACAACAGCAGCCGACTCGAAAAGCGATGATCTGTAACAGGCATATTATCCAGTCTCCGATGTTCACATCTTAAGGAAAGCAACTATATGAAAAAGCTGCAGAAACTCCAACCTGAGGCTGAACATTGGTGTCTGCTGACTACTGAAAACTTTCGCCATCCTCTTTTGATTTCCAAGTATCAAAGCAGCAACGTTAGAGGACCGAGATCGCTATGAAAAGCAGTCGTTATCTTTTTCTTCGCCGTGTGCGCCACGAACGAAGGGTGTTTCGATCTGAGACCTCAGCCTCAACACGCCTTATTGGCGCACGTAGGTGGCCTCAAAGGCCACGGACGACATCCTACCGACGTCATATCATGCAGGAACAGGACCTCATGGCCCCATGGGATCAGTTCAGTGTTTCGCATGCATACGAGCCTCTTCTTGTCCACGCGTCGAGCACAGCCATTTTGGGGGTCCGGCAATGAACGAGATGCATATCCAGCTACTGCGTCTCACCATGCGATGGGAAAGGTACCAACCTGACCTACCACTGTAGGTGACTACAATCTGATAGAATAGAACATGGAGCCAACCAACTACGACTCTGCCTTGAGTGGCTCTACTGCCTGAGAAAGCCAATGTAGAAATTCGGGGGCTCTGACTGCAACATGTAACGCTTTATGTCTGAGCAAGGCCTTGGAGGTGCGTGCTTTGCCTTGTCTTCTATCGATATCTGCTATGATCTGCTCTTTGACTACAAGTGTGTTCCAAGTACCGCGTCCCCAAGTCAGCCTCGTATTGCTGTAGCGTGTTGTTTCATCACATGTTATACTTCCAATTGCTGTTCCCCAGTCTCCAAGGACTCGTATACCATTGGGGCTATGGCTGGTCGGTGACGAGGTGAATATGACTTAGCGATTCCGACACGGTCCAGCGATTTTTGATCGAGTATAAGACAGACATGCTGGACGCGTAAGTCAGACATTATTCCACCATACCTATCGACTTGGACTCCCGTATTGCAACCAAGACACACAGCGATCCTCTCTCGCTCGAGCTATCCCCCAAAAACCATACCAAATAGAACCATCCATTCACAATGCTCCAAAACTTCATCATCCCCCTTGCCTTCGCGGGTGTAGCATTCGCTAGTGTCATGCCCGTTGGCTACTGCCCTCAGCCAACAACCACCTACACCGCTAGTGCCGCCCCCTTCCTACTATGGTCCTCCTGTCCTCGACACAGATGTCGCTTCGTGCAAATCGACCGATACCACAACATGCGCTCTTGGGGTCAGCGCATCTACCAGCGCTGGCTACACCATTACTATGGGTGGTGGACTGACACTCGATCTGTGAGTTGCATAATTTCGAAAGTGATGTGTGAGCGAGGCCAGCACTGACAACGAACAGGCCTAAAATCGGCTCAATAGCTTTCACCCCTTCAGTGAGCTACTCTTACACAACGACAGAGGGGACCAGTGACGGGTACGATTTCCTTTCCCTCATCCCAGACCTTGATTGGTGAATACTGGCTAATATTTCTCAGTGTGAATTGTCCCGAGGGAGGCTATACCTGTGGCATGACCTCCGTTACACCATGGCAAACTATCACGGATAACCAGCATAGCTGTGGTGGCGGCGGATGGCCGGCTTGCAAGCCTTGTGGTGACGATGCTTATTCCATTAGAGTCCCGGCGCAAACAGCTGAGATCAGCTGGGCGGCTTGCATCGCTAGTGATTCGCTGAATCAGAAGACCGGCCCGAATTTGGAGAAGTGTCCGTAAAGGCAAGAAGAGCTGTGTTGGAATGTGGCGATGCGTTTGAGTGCATGAGTGCACGAGTGCGGTGTTGTGGTGCATGATATGTACTCGTACTTGAAAATTGTTTACTCGTTCATGTGATCTCGTTCATCTTCTGATCTAAAGACTGCATGATGCTGGCTTGGTCCCAAATTTCCATGAAGTCATTCGAAAACGTTGGAATGCCAGCCATCGGTGTTTTTAAGGTAGAAGCACGCTGAACATCTCTGTTAGCTCTATACTGAGTCCAGGCCGCCTTGACCGTCTGTCAATTGAGCCATTCGACAGTCTGCAGGTCTTTCAAGACGGAGGCGTTTCATCCAAATGGGGCCTTTGCACTGCTCGACAAGCCGGCTGACATTGATCGGAGGTGTATTGAATGGCAATTGGAATGCAAGTATGAAGTATTTAAAGGGGTTCAGAACTTGTGAGCTAGGAGTTTCACGTGCTGGAGAAGGTCTGAGGGTCAGGACTGTATAATAAAGTCCAGTATGCAGACTTGATGCAGCATTAGTAAGCCAAGAGATGTCATAGCCACTCAAGCAGACAAAGGTGGCAGTCTTGGGTAAAGGCCACTTCATCTGCCGCCAAGCACAGGGTATCAAAGCGCAAGTATTTGCTGTTGTAATTGTGGAAAAGGTTCATACAGGGCAATTAGTAAATCAATCGTCTGTAGTGTGTATGTTCTGACGACTCAGATAGGTAAAGTACATTTAAGACGAGGGGGATGTTTGCAACTGCAACTGCAACTGCCTCTTTCGAGACTTGATGCGAGTAGCTGCGGAAACCTTGATTTGCGAACGCATCAATACTTTACCCGGACCTGAATGAACTCTGACCATTACACGAGGCCATGAAACTCACCTGCGGAATCTATTCATCCCTCCAAGCACCTGATGTCGCTCGAGAAAGATGAGCCTCCTAATGCGCCGCAATGAAGCACGCGCCTCTCTCCCCGAGGCCGCCCAGCCGAGAAAGTCTGAAAGCTATTTCCTACAACGATACCATTGCTGCTAAACCTCCCATACCCATTACTGTCGCTACACCTCCCTCAAGATCATCTCATACCGCATTCAATGGCCTCCGACGGCCCAAGACCTCCAATCAGCGCCTTTCCCCTCAAGCTGCGCGGTTGAGAGTACAGGATGATGCCAGGAGAGACTCGGGTCTGGCGCCCTCGAGTTCTACCACAAGAGATAGTCGAACGACATTGGGAACAGATATTGAGTCGACGACCAGCATGAAACGTTCGCCAAGCATTCCAAGTTTCTCGGCGAATGAAGCGGCCCCTTCTCCCACACCAAATACTACAGGAGATGAGGAATCAAGATCAAAGGAGCAGACGGAGCGTCCTGCAATACCGCAGTTACCATTCATGAGCATACTGACGGAGATACCGTCTGGGAGTTTCGAGGACTTCACGTTACCTGGGCAGGTGGAGTTCTCAAAGAGAGGGAGCATGCTGATAGGAGGCAAGAAGGCGAACAAAGGGCATGGCCGCGTTGTCAGTAATGGACGAGTGATTGGCAGTCGGAGGACGTTGAGCAAAGATTTACTGTCCCCACCGCCATGTCTACCTACGAGGGTGCTATCCGCAAATGACGAAACCCTCTCCTACAAGGTCCGGTCAATGTACGAGGGCGGAGCGGAAGAGGACTTTAGTTGCGCGGCTGGAGTGCACGACAAGATGGGCCACGGGCCAATCGAAGTGCAAAAATCAAGTATACGGCAGGTGTCAAACTTGTCTCTAGGTCCGGCAAATACGCCACAGATCACTATGAACGGTGAATCGGCCCACAGAGTACTTTCTCAGGCAACGACCAACACGAGCAAGAGAAGTAGTGCGATCATCCGAGAAGCCAACGAATTAGCGGGTGGGATTGAGGATTGGGAGGATCTGAATGGCGGAGACGTTGATCGTTACGGATTCATCGTTCCACGCAAACCATCTTCGCAAGCCTCATCCCTGAACTCCAGCCAAGCGAGATCGCCAGAACCCCCCCGTATACAGCGTATGTGTACGCTCCTGCAAATTGCTTCAGACGCCCCGAGAAGACAACGCAGTACGATCAGGGGCAAGAAGACACCATCGGCTCAAAGCCCAGCGCGCTCTGCGGCAATGCCTTCGTCGTCGACACCTGTGTCCAGGATTGTCCGTCCAAAGTCTTCACAGAGCTCATATCGGACCACAACCGGCAACCAGTCCAGAACTCGCTCTGCTGCAAACAGGCTTCCTTACAACAAGGACAGGAGATGCGTGGACGAAGCAGGCGACATGCTCACACTTCCTCCTGGGCTGGCAGACATTGCAGAGGACGAAGAAGACAGCAAAATGGCAGACGATCTGAAGCGACGCGAATGGGAGAGAGAGGAGAAATGGAGGAAGATGGCTAAGATTGACAGGAACAAGAATGGTGGTGGCATGGTCTTCGAATTCGACACTAAGAGTCCCAAGGTCATCGAAAGGACGTGGAAAGGTATACCAGACCGATGGCGCGCAACGGCATGGCGTGCATTCCTGACCGCTAGTGCTAAGAAGCGGCGAGGTAGCCCAAGCGACGACGAGCTCATCGCTGTCTTCAATAAGTTACTGACTCAAAGTTCTCCGGATGATGTACAAATCGACATCGATGTTCCCCGGACAATCAATGGCCACATCATGTTCAGACGGCGCTATCGAGGAGGGCAACGCTTGCTCTTCAGAGTCTTACACTGCCTCTCCATCTACTTCCCAGATACAGGCTACGTACAAGGCATGGCTGCCCTAGCAGCTACTCTTCTCTGCTATTTCGACGAGGAAATCACATTTGTCATGCTCGTGCGCCTGTGGCAGCTTCGAGGTCTGGAGCGTCTATACCAGTCCGGCTTCGAAGGTTTAATGCAAGCGCTTGAAGAGTTTGAGAGAGATTGGCTCGGAAAGGGGGAGGTGGCAGCGAAGTTGGTGAGTCTGCGCCATCTACCAAACGCGAAAGAGTGATCTTTGAATGGGTTTGACTAATGGGCTCGCAATAGGACGAATACAACATCTCCCCTACCGCCTACGGCACCCGCTGGTACCTCACCCTCTTCAACTACTCCATCCCTTTCCCCGCCCAACTCCGCGTCTGGGATGTCTTCATGCTTCTCGGCGACCCTGACCCATCTGCCTCTCTCTCACCCTCCCCATCATCCTTCAACGGCGGCCTCGACGTCCTCCATGCCGTCTCAGCCGCACTAATCGACGGTACGCGGGAAATACTATTAGAGTCTGATTTCGAAAACGCTATGAAAGTGCTTACAAGCTGGATACCGGTGAAAGACGAAGAAATGTTGATGCGGGTTGCGAGGGTGGAGTGGAAGACCAAGAGGAGGAAGAAGCCGTGAACATCTTCCACGGCCTCTGCTAATGCCATGGTAAGAGGAGGAAAACGCGATGAACGTCTTTTGGGCTGCTGTTTGCTTGCGACCGGTGCTGCGGACGCTTTTGAACCTACCTCGCTTGGCTTGGGAAACGTTGCTTGGTTGCAACTTAGTATGATACCCCACATATCGCATATTTTCTTCGGTTGCTTTGGGAAATTCTTTTATCGCTTCGGGAATTGGGGGCGTACATAGTGGTATGAAATTGGGCAACATCTCTAGCAGGATGAGTGGGAGGAAGATGGATGGAATGTCTGGAATGTCTATCAGTTTAGACAGCTTTATAGTCAATAATGCCTAATTAAACAGTTTGCTTCAGGCTTTGACATCATCCTTTGTCGTGGCTTACTGTGAAACAGGCAGAGATGCTGAAAGCCCTCGGTCAGTGGGTACAGGACAAGAAAAAGGGTAGATCTGAAGTCGTTAAAAGCTCTCATTAAATTAAGCCTGCCGCTATACTGATATGTCATCCACTATCCCAAGGCTATACAACGAAGGAACGTAGCCAATGCTCCAAGAGCCTTCAATCCTCCTCCCATATGCCAAACCCACGTTCTCAGCCTCAAGCTGCCCATATGATAAATCAATAATGCCAAAATTCATGTCAGCGTCGTAGTCGTGAAAGTCGTACCCCAAGCCATACCCATGCTCCGTCGTAAATTATATCGAGAGATATACGCCGTGTTCTTTTGCCCATGCTCCATCCCAGCTATGCTCTGAAATCCGTAATCCGGAAGGTTGATAAAACGTCTCAAGGCTCAATGTCCCTACTCTTGATCCTAATCATGTCATCACTCAAACTTGCCATCCACAGACATCTCTCCAACGCCCCTTCAACGGGACGAAAATCGTACTTTGCGCTCGCGTCAATGAGTCTTAAGAGACTCTTGACGATAGTAGCTGCAGTGCGGAAGCGTTCAAAGTTGATCAAAGGCTCACTGTCGCGCGTGCTAGCAACAACGGATGGTTTTTGTGCGTTATAGGTAAGGTCGTGGATGTAGAGTGCTACATAGACAATTAGACAAAGCAAGGGTGGAAGGCCAACTATAGATCACTTACGGACGAAAGGAATGCAGCCTTCATCAAGGTTAGCCTTCTCCATATCCTGTCTCAGATTGTGGAAGTTCTTGATTGGTGTAGCCAGCGTCTCCATCTCCTTCAGCATGGCCTTCTCCGACGCAGGCACCAAATCCCACGTCCTCGTCAGACGCGCACAGTCGACAGATGTCAAAGCAATGGTAATCTGCAGGACAGTAGCGTAATTGTGGTATTTCCTAGCATGCTGTGCAATGTGTATGTATTTGATGATTGCTAATGCGCGCTCCTCAATATTTTGCGTCAGTACAATCTCAGACAGAGTCCACTTGACGATGATATTGAAGCGAGCAGTGACGAGCTCGATGCCCGTAGGATCTTGGTAGCGAAGATATTCCACCCAGTTCAAGGTCTGAGTAGAAGAGTGCTGCCAGCGCATATCGATTAGATCTTGCCAATTGATTTCATTGAGGCCATCTCTTTCAATAATAGTCAGCTGCTGTGCAAGTATCGCCGCATCATAGGCTAGGATGAAAGGTATATGTCGCCTT